GTAATCATCATATTCGTTAATCTTTTCACATTGATTTTCACATACCAACTACCAACTGCCTAGAATCCTAAATATTTTTCATCTTTTTCATTGATTATATTCATTGTGAACAAAATGAATGCTGTGATCGACGTGTTTTAACGGTGATCTTTCTTAATGTACCTGAGAAACAATTGAGATTATTTAGTAGTTTTGGTCACCTGGATGTGTAACTGTGTAAAAACCAATGGAACAGCTGTTTGGTGCTAAGTCTGTAACTCTTTTTGTGATTAGTTCTCAGGATATTAGATCAATACTGTAAATTGTTACGAATACACGCAAACACGTGATTTGATAGGCTTGAACTATTACAGGTTTACCCTAACCGGATAACGAGAGCGAGAATCGAGGATTCGGCGACTCGACAGACTACTTAAATCCGATAGTAACACCCCCCCCCCATTGAGTAAAAGAAGAAGACTTGATATGAAGTAGAAGAACATGTATTCTACAAGCATCCAGAAAGTACGAGGTCTAAGTTGAGAATAGAATCAAGATCCCGGACTAAGGATCCGGGTCCGGGTCATAAAACGTTACAGATAATGCATATTTATACAGTTAGGTCGAATAGGAAACAACATTTGAAGTATGTGACATTGGCAGTTAGGACGACCATAATATTGACCAGTAGGAATCAATCAATAGGAATTGACCAGTAGAACAAGACTTACAAATAATTCTCTTAGGCTATTATTGGATGGATATCCTAATGTAAATATTGCACTAGCGACAGCAAAAATCCATATTACAAGGTTATGGTGTGCTCTTCTTAATTCTGACCATTTCTAACCCATTCCTTCTGTTGTAGTTAGGCGACATTACTGTATATATTAATAGTTTGACAGAAATACCTCACTGTCATTACATCTGAGTACGGTTAACAGTTCAGCTTCGTTTTTGAACTGTAAGTTTGTTACTTTTAATTTCTACTACTCTCTAACTTGACTTTGACATGTGGTGAAGATGTTCAAGTAACTGGTCTCACATTTGAAACCCATTCTCTTTTTTTGCAGTATTATTTAGTATTCACACTCTGATTAGCTCAAAATCAAGTACACTAATTTGTACTTGATGAGTGATTAACCTCATATTCATGTTAACTGATTACAAGAAAACCTTGAATGTCTTGAAGTACTAAAAAACTTTCTTCAAAAAAAATTTCTTCCAGGTTAAAGCTTGTTGAACAACTACAACGTTATGAAGATGAAAGAAATTTCTTTTCTGCTGGTGGTGAACCTGTTGTATCGTTTGGAGATGAGGTAAGAAACTTATATTTGGTATATATATAACGAGAGCGAGGATCGAGGATCCGGTGACACGACATGCTACTCTAATCCGAGTGTCCCAACCCCCATATTCTGTAAAAATAAGAAGACATGATATGAAGTAGAACGTGTGTTCTACAAGCATCCAGAAAGTATGAGGTCCGAGTCCAGAAGAGAACCAGGATCCCGGACTAGGGATCCGGGACCGGATCCTGGTCCTGGTCGTGGTCTTAAAACGTTATAGATAATGCGTATTTATACATTTTGGTCGAATAGGGAACGGCATCGAAGTCTGTGACACATTGAAGACATTAAGATGATCAATAGGAAGCAACATTTGAGGTGACATTGATAGTCAGGACAACCAATTAGAAACAACATTGGAGTATGTGACATTGATATCTAGGACGACCATAAGATTAACCAGTAGGAATTGACCAGTAATTCTCTTAGGATATTGGATGACTATCCTAACATGTTCATGATAATAATTGACTTTGGGAAGAAACCGTAAATATCATGTGACAAATATTGAAAGTATAACATGTTACTGTACTCTTTGTTTTTGTGTATTTCATTAAAACGTTTTGAGCATAAATTACAGTTATATATGCTAGTAGGGTGGAAGAAAGTTTGGGGCGGCCAAACCAAAATATGGCAGAAATCTATGAAGTCACTGACAACTGGACTGAGCAATGTTCGTAGATGTAGACCACTTGGTTGGGATCCGCCAGATGAAAGTAACCGATGGTTAGAGATCTTGAATGACATGGCTCAAAATCGTTTGCAATAGTACAGGTGCATTCATTGTTAGGCTTCTTTCAAATTCTAATCTTCTAAATTCCTCATCACTTTTATCTTCCTCTTTTTAAATTTATTTCACTAAATTATACTTCTTGGATAATTTCTTCGAACCCTAATCTTTCCCATTACGGCCAATACTTCTACTTCATCCATCACTATGCGATTTGAATTGACAATTCGATCTCTTTGTGTTAATGTGGTACGGCAACTTGAATGACGTACGCACGTACGAAGTTATGCTTTGTAGCTGACTGAATATATGCTGGTTCCAACCAAGAACTACACCACCACAGATGACCAATTTTTTCATATTCTATTAGTTTCGTGTTTTTGCGCCTTTATCCTGAATTTAGTACAACTTGATGGTGGTCCCATCGTCCAGCAGAAATATTTGAAATGATATTCCATAAAGTGTATTTTAGTGACTCATACGTAATCTGGCTGCGATATTTATCGACAATTATATATGTTAAGGAATAAATCACCTCATCAGTTTCCGTGGATTATACTTAGGCGAACCCCCGGTTGTGCGACGTCGGTGATAAGTGTAGTCAAATACGGAGTCGGTTGGATGAGTTGATTTCAGACGATCATTCATGCAGACATGATGATGAAGAGCGTACAAGCCAAGGGAAAACGAAGCGGAGAAGGCGAGTCAGTCAACTCCCATGCAATGAAACCATGAGAGTGAGACATATTAAGCCAGACATGTAATAAGCGACTTCCACGGTGTTGGCGACCAGGAAGTAACATCCGTCTTCATACCCATAAAAGTACACGAGACCGAATTGGTCACAAGCAAATCCTGTGCTAATGTGGTATGGCAACTTGAACTGATGTACGTACGTACGTACGAAGTTCTACGTTGGTTGGTTAGGTTGTAATAAGCGAGGTAGGCGTGCACACACACACATACTACAGTATCTCAGATTCACTAGAATGACTGTTGAATTTTATCTAGATAACGCGCCTAAAGTATATTTAAATCAGAAGACTATCATGATTACTTGAAGTTATTTGTATGTATGGTACGTGAATTATGCAAGTGTGAATTACATCTAAGCTTACATTCAAGGTGATAAGACAACAACAGTTAATTTTAAAACAGCTCAACATAAAATGACCAGTTTAAAATGCCTGTCTATACAAAATATGTTTCGACTAATAAGGTGGCGATCACTACTTTTTTCGATAATGAGTTCAACGAGTGAAGTAATACAAGAAAAAGGGATTTACTCTAAATACTAACAAGTAATATCTATATTTGTCATGGGAAACAAGAATTTCTTAGTGTATGAATTTGACCCAGCATACATCATTCTACAATGGTCTGCATCATTGATCAATAACCAGCTTAGTGTACCTGTATTCCTGGATTGATGTTTAATTCTGAACTCAGCAGATCCAGTACCATTCACTATGAAAACGTCATCACATTTTGACCACTCAGTGATAGATTAGTTGTGTAGTCTTAAACATAAATGGGAATATTCGAATAACCAATGCAAATGAATGAAACTTCACCCTCTTCATTCAAAAGCCGACGGCTCTATATCCCAGACTCAGTAGCTAAAGAGTGTTAGGATATTCATCAAATATCCTATTCCTACTGGTCAATAATATGGTCGCCCTAACTATCAATGTCACAGACCTCAATGTTGTTTCCTATTCGACCTAACTGTATAAATGTGCATTATCTATAACGTTCTATTACCCGGACCCCCATCCTTACCTTCTTCTGGACTCGGACCTCGTACTTTCTGAATGCTTGTACAATACACGTCCTACTTCATATCAAGTTAACTTCTTTTACTCAAGGGGGGTTCATGACAATCGGATTAGAGTAGCCTGTCGTGTCACCGGATCGTCGATCCTTGCTCTCGTTACCCGGCTAAAGTAAACGCGTAATAGTTTTAGCCTATCAAATGACGTGTTGACGTGCATTCGCAACGAGATAATTGGTTGGCGTGTTTAAAGTGATTGGTACGGGGTGTGAGTCCTGTATTTAACATCGACTGAGGAATGCAGATAGACTGACTGATTTGAAGCGTACCAAAGTGCACATGCTGGATTATTGCATTGCTTGTCACCATCTATCATCTGTGCTATAATAATGCTTGGGACACCCGAGTGAGCAACGCTGTTATTAGGAATCGGGTTCTAGGTAAGAATGGCAGATCAATAGATGAAATGGTGAAACTCCATCAGTTGAGGTGGTTGGGACATGTGTTGCGTATGCCTAACCACCGACTGCCTCGAAGAGCTTTGTTTTGTAGTGTAGGAATAGGTTGGAAGAAAGCTAGGTGCGGCCAGATCAAAACATGGCAGAAATCCATGAAGGCATTGACTAGTGGACTTAGCCATGTCGGTAGTTGTCGACTACCTGGTTGGGATCCGCGAGTTGATAATAATCGATGGTTAGAGACCTTGAAGGACACGGCTCTAAACCGTTTGCAATGGCGCCGGTGTATTTATTCTTTGTGTTCTCTCAAATCCTAATCTTCTGGATTATTCAACACCTCTAGTTTTGACTTTCTAAACTTTTCTCACTGAATCATACTTCTTGAATAATATCTTCTAATCCTAACCTCTCCGATTACTTCTAATACCTTTACTACCTCTTCTACTATTGGATTTTAATCGACAATTACATCTCTGTGCTGATGTGGTATGGCGACATGAACTGATGTACTTACGTACGAAGTTCTACGTTGCATCTGACTGACTGACTGATAATAATGCTTGTGACGTAATAGCACTATCGAGGCAACCCACAAAACGTACATACATACATACATATATACATGCTAATAAGACTGAAAAACTTCAATGACACTACTCAAATAATTATTCATACTAATTGAGTCGATTGTGATTTTTTGAATAAAGTTTAGATCAAGTTTAAAAAACTTTTAGTTCATTTCGTCAATAATAATAATAATTATAATATCGATTTAACTAATAATGAATATCAATCATAACACTCATATTGTACTATGGATGTTTATTGATATATGTAAATATAAGCTCCAATCATGTTTGAAAATTTGAAGGATTCGATTTTGACTAATTTGGTCTCGTGTGTTGTCACAGGTTTGAGGGCGAATGTCGCATCCAAGCTGCTCACTCCGTGCAAAAGGTGTTTATTGAGAAACCTGTAAAGGCCGACCATGCGCTACCTTTTTCATGGGAAGTTTGTAAAGTGTTAGCTCCGCTCTTCAAGAGGTTATACCGCCAGAGACGGGAATCCGTTCGGTTAGATAAGGTGTGACATTCTTAGGGTCGACTTTGTTTAACCACTTCCTTTCGTTGTCAGATTCTGGTTTTCTGACAGAAACACGTTATTTACTGTCACACCCTTCTACAGTCAGTAGTACGACTTCGCCCTCAGACCTTCAGTCGTAGATTTTGGTCTCAGCGCTCTCCGATTGAGCTGCCTGGAATGTTATTGAACACTACAGGAACATATGTTCCAGCCAATATAGTTCGGTTGGGTCATTACGATGGGCAAACCTAACCACCACATTAAGGTAGCAGCTACGGTCGTTTGAATATCGACAATATGAACATAATTTCTTCGAATCCATAGGATCTAGTTAGTTGTAGAATGCAAAACGTTTATCTAGTCTTATTTAGAACTCGTTAGTTAAATGTACGTGCCTACATCTAAAAGTTAATATTAACTCCGGGACAGGAACTTGATGCTGTTTGTTTCAAATGCCATTGATTTTATTCACTAAGCCACACTGAGTCCAGTCGAACATTTACTTATGCAACAAGTATGAGATTTAATTCAACTTCAACTGGTTTGGATTATATTCTGTTGTGGATATTTTTGACTAAAATTCAATCCATCTTGGTTGATGGCATATAAGAGTATCCAATGCTAATCGCCTAGTGACTAATCAACTTTCAATCGAAACTATCCACAATAGGATCTGATTTAAACCATTACAACAACTGTTTTTTGTTATTGCTAACTCACTAACTCTCTCTCTCCCTGTGTCGTTCTGTCTTTTGTAAAATAGTTTAATAGTTCAAAACATACACTGGAAGAAATAATTATTATGCAACCAGAACGGAATTGTTTCAATCAATCACAAATGTCGTATGAAAAATCCTCTCCATCCTCATCATCATCATTATTAATTCATAAATCATCATCGTCATCATCAGCGGTGCATTGTAACACTGAAACTATTCATTGTAATAAGAACAAATTGACAGGCACAACATCGTCGATGTCTGCGTGTTCTCATTCAAATCAAGCGAATCATCACAACAATTCAAATCATCCGACACCAAAGCGGGAATTGAATAGTTCTACTACTGCTACTACTACTACTACTACCGCTGATGCTACTGCTGCCGGTCCTTCATTTCTGCATGCATATTTAATGAAAACAAGAGAAGTGAGTTGGGCAAAGTTGTTTTTCTCTCTCTGTTCTATTTCTACTTCTACATCATCTACTTCGTGATGATGCAATCTATATTGGCTAAATGACATTTTCCTCTGGATCGTTTAGAGAACAGTAAACCGAAAAGCAGCAACTTGAGGTTTGAGAGCGAAGTCGAACTACTGATTGTAGAGGAATGTGATAACAGTAAGGTGTTTCCTTAGGAAAACCATCATCTTCAGCGATACTGTCTTCTCACAATGGAAGGAAGCGGTTAGTAAAGGTCGATCATCAGAATGTTACACTTCACGTTACCTAACGGACTTCCATCTGCTGCAATAAGGACTTTTAAACAAGAGTGAAGCTAACACCTCGTATATAGACTTCCTATAATGCGGCCGTACGTGACCACCCTTAAGCCGTTGTCCCTTGGACTCTGTAGTCACACCACCACATCACTAAGACCTACGCTAATCGGATTTTCTTTTTAGGTTCCTCAAGGAAATATCCTTCCGCGGTGAGCTCTTGCTTTTTTTCCAACTTTTATAACGTTTCTTTCTATTAGAATTATGGAGGTTAGTGTGTTTTTTGCACATTTGAAATCATCAGTCAATCATCATTGTTAGACCACCATTAGAAATCAGGAAGCACTGGATGGCCGTTTCATCCTGGTATGGGACTCATCAGTAGTGGCAGTGCACATCCACAACTCCTACACCTCGCAAGATCCGAAACTCAGGACCTTTGGTCTTGCGCGCGAATGCCTTACCTCTGATCTACTGGGCCGACATCCAACGGTGTTAATTTCTAACGTGTTTAGGATATTAAATTTTTTCCATTATATATGATAACAAACATTGAATTAGTTAGTCAATTAATCGGAGAAAGTAATGTATGTCATTCCTTTGTTTGTGTGTGTGGGTGTTGTGGCAGTGTCTGTCATTGAAAGGTGTACCAAAGAAGTACATTAACCTTATACAAGCTCTCTATTCGAACACTACTGGTCGAGTGAGAGCTTATGGCGAACTGTCATCGGAATTCTTCACCTCAAGTGGTGTCCTCCAGGAGTGTCCACTCTCTCCATTCTTGTTTAACTTTTTCGTAGACATCCTCTTAGAGCTAACATTAAGCTCGTCAGATTTTTCAGGGGTTGATTTTCTACCAGGAAAATCGCTTACTGACCTAGAATATGAAATGACATAGTTCTATTCGGTGAAGACGCTGACAAAATGCAGAGTCTTCTGACTACCATAAGCAACAATGCGAGCATGTTCGGAATGCAGTTCTCTCCGTCGAAATGCAAAATGTTGCTTCAAGACTGGGTTGCATCGGCACCTGAACTAGTGAAAGGGGGTGAAGCAATTGAGCGTTTAGACCGCTTCACTTATCTTGGGAGTCTCATCAGTGCTGACGGCCTGCTGACTGACGAAATCTCAGCACGGATACAGAAGGCTGGATTGGCTTTCGCCAACCTGCGTCACTTATGGCGTAGGCGAGACATACGTTTTCTGACTAAAGGACGAGTGTACTGCGCAGTAGTTCGCTCCGTCTTAATTTATGGCTGTGAAACATGGCCAGTGAGAGTGGAAGATATTCGTAGGTTACTGGTTTTCGATCATAGGTGTCTTCGAAGCATTGCTCATATGTCGTGTGACACCCGAGTGAGCAACGCTGTTATTAGGAATCGGGTGCTAGGTAAGAATGGCAGATCAATAGATGAAGTAATGAAACTTCATCAGTTGAGGTGGTTGGCACATGTGCTGCGTATGCCTAACCACCGACTGCCTCGTCGAGCTTTGTTTTGTAGTGTAGGAGTAGGTTGGAAGAAAGTTTGCAGCTAACTGTGAAAAGCTAATTTAGATCAAGGAGGGATTTATTGATTTATACATATTAATATTGATACAAAGTGTATGCTTAAATATTTATTCACCACACCATTCACTGAATTTGTGAGTAGGTCTGGACTCTGTTCAGACGCCCAAACTGACGGAGATCGCTTTCTTAAGTGGGTCACTCCATCGAGCCTTTGATTCAAAGGTCTAATCTACAAGGTGGCAGTAGAGCAATGTGAGACGATTCAGTCTCATGATTGTCGGTATAACCGACAATAGATTCCTACTCTCAAGATTCTGATTTCCATCTTCACTGTTGGTTTGTAGTTGAGGTTATCTAACTCACTTAGCTAAAGATCCTCTGTGCTAATCAACCTGGTCTAAGCATCGGTTGGATATTTTGTTTCCCATAAATATAACATTATTGGTGTAAGAAAACAGTGATAATTAAACTTGTTGATAATCGAGATTCATAAAATTTAGTGTGCCCGCACATGAAATATGCGTGAGTCCCATAGATATAATTAAACTTCATTAGCTTGTATAGAACTCAAATGAAGTGAAAATACATTGAGTCCATCATTGTTGGGGAAGTTAGATCCCCAGAACTCGCTTGATAAATGCCTTAAATTGGATTTCACGTTTCTGGGCATGAGTTGATCGGTTGACCTTGAGATTTCATTTCCCACCAGGAAAATCTTTGGCTCTGATTGGTTGCTGTGTATTTTAGTGTGCTGTTTTTGTGACTGTCCCAAGGACGTTTCTATGATGTATAAATAAACGATAGTTGTGTGCTTGATTGCATTATGCTTGCTGGATGTTTGTAGAATATACTTTCTACGCTAAATCAAGACTTTTCATTAGTCAGTAGATCAGGATAGCCTACCTGGACGCTGGTTCATTGTCTCGTTCGCATTTATCGACTAAGATGAACCCGTAATAGTTTCAAGCATACTTAGTGATGAATCTAACAATCATTCATGGTATTCTGTGAAAAATTTTTCTAAATGAATCAAGTTACTTAAAAAAATTTTTTTACAGATTAGCCCTTGTGTATTTTGGTTAACTGTTTTTGTTACAATATTAATGGTAATAGTGGATTTAAGAATCTTGTAGGCAGAAATATCATTTTCCCACGAAAAAAATAAAACAAACAGAAAAAATCAACTTTAAAAATAAACAATTTTTGTCAAAACAAACTATTTCATAAGATGAACTATTGGTGGGAAATACTTGAAGATAAATTAAATTCATAGTTGTATTGAAATTATAAATCGATCGTTATTAAATCATTGTTGGAAATCTAAAAGCATTGGTTGTAATGTTGAGTCATCGGCAGTGTGACTTTGTAAATAGGTGGACGTTTAACCTCTTCACCACTGAGCCGTTATTTAACGGTGTTAATTTCTAACTTCATTGAGTGTATGATATTGCTAGGCCACATCCATTGTCTTTGGCGGGTGGTTGACTCGTTTAGTCCTGTACCAAATTAAAACGATCATAAAGTGCTTTGAGGTTTCTAATGGTGGTGAACCTAACATTGATCGATTGATGGTTTCAGTGAAACTCAAAAATCTCCAAAACTCTAGAATCATAATCTTTAAATATAAATCTGATCTAGAATTCATGTTTTTATTCATCTTAATTCTTGACATTTTACTTACTTACTTACGCTCGTTGCCCACAATAGTACATAAGCCGCCGAACAGTATTCTCCAACTTTTCGTTCTAGTTCTGTCCAATTGTTGTTCATTCTCCTTATGTCTGTCTTTGTTTCTCGACGTATTGTATTCCTCAGCCTTCCCGTTTTCCGTTGGCCTTGAGGATTCCAGGGGAGGTCTCGTCTTATGAAACAGTTGAGTGCTTTCCTTAATATTTGTCCTGATTTCCTCCTCTATTTGAGTCTGTTTTTTTTGTCTCCCACAGTAGGTTGTTGCTGTTAGTGTTTGGCCGACAAACCTAAAATATTTTATGCGTGCATAACAGTTAATAGACATTTGTATCTTCTGAATAATACCTTACGTAAATATTCTGCTCTTGCCTTACCGATCCAGGCCTTCACATGTGCATCAAATCCACCGTGTGCCCATTAATAATAATGCTGCATTTTAACATTTGAACATCATTATATTCTATCATACATTATTATTATTATTATTCATACTTGTTTTTTGTTTTGTTTTGTTTTTTTTCAGGATGAAACAAATCCAACTAAAACTCTACGTGTATCAACTCGTTCAACAACCATATCACAAAATCAATCAAACCCTATAGCCAATACAATTTTATCTCCTTTAGATGAACAAGATGATGTTGATGATCAAGATGATTCATCCGAAGAATCTGAATGGTCAGCTCATATTGATGTAGATATTGGTTGGTGGAGTCGACAACGTCGTCGACGAACTCGACGTCAAGGCAATACAAATGATACAACAGTAACAGGATTGCATGATACAGAACAATTGAATTCTTCAAATCCTATGGATGAGACAACAATGGATCTTGATATTGATGAAACAATGGACGAGTTAAGATTAATTTATGAAAATGGTGAAGCATCTCTTTCTTCTGGTCATACAGATACAAATCCGAATGGATCAATGACTGAAGGTGGTACTAGTAGTATCAGACGATCATTACGTCAACAACGTCGTCTTTTAATGAAACGTAGACTTATGCGTGAAGCGAAAAAAGCCGAGGCAAGAGCTGCACGTGAAGAAATCGAAAAGAAATGCTCTGTTGCTCGACGATCTCGACGCTTTCTCAATCTAACAGAAGATGAAGATTCTACTAGTCGTGACACATGTATACCAGAATCTTCTAGTCATGGTCAGTCTGTAGAAACAATTACACCAGGTCATATTGATACACTGTCTAGAAGAGAACGTCTCAAGCGACGTTTAATTCGTAGCCTTGATTATGCTGTAATGGTAAGCAATCATCAATGATGTAATCAATTTTTTCATTATCATATAACTTCAAATCATTATCGTCGTTTTAATTTACTGCGTTCATACATTTATGAATCGATCATTGTTAGACTACCATTGGGAAGAAATCTGGAAGCCAGTACGGCCAGTTCCCCCAAGTATGGGACTTGTTAATAGCGTGTACCCTAAGACTCTCTTTCTCACGCGCGAATGCATAATCTCTAGACCACTGAGCCGGCACCGAACATTGTCAATCTATCCACAATATTGCACAACCTCGCCCATTTTCTTCTCTGAGTGGAGCGCCTCACACACCCGACTTGATTTAACCCCACTGATTACGAGACCAAAAGTTTTCAGTTCAGTTTTTGTATTTGAGCGATGGGGGGAGTCATGAATGTGCATGCACTGCTGATGAATCGTATACCAGGACGAAACTCACTGTCCAATGCTTCCAGGTTCCTTTCAAATTGATAGATAGTCTAACAATGATTGATCGATTCACGGTTAGCTTCAATTGAAACTCAATCATCTCTATACCGACTGCCTCGACGAGCTATGTTTTGTGGTGTAGGAATAGGTTGGAAGAAAGCTAGGGGCGGCCAGACCAAAACATGGCAGAACTCCATGAAGTCACTGACAAGTGGATTGAATCATGTTGGTAGGTGTAGGCTACCTGGTTGGGGTCCGCGAGACGAAAGTCACTAATGGTTAGAGACCTTGAACAATATGGCTGAAAATCGTTTGCAATGGCGCAAGTGCATCCAGTCGTTGTGCTCTCTCAAATCCTAATCTTCTGGATTCATTAACACCTCTTTCTTTATCTTTCTAACCTAATCTCACTGAATTATACTTCTTGAATATTGTCTTCAAACCCTAGTCTTCTTCATTACCATTAATACCTCTACTATCTTTATCACTATGGGATTTGATTTGACATTTGCGTCTCTGTGCTAATGTGGTATGGCAACATGAACTTTTGTACATACGTACGAAGTTCTACGTTGCAACTGACTGACTGACTGACAATCATCTCTATAACTATATATCATTTATGAATTTCATTTATTTACAGTCTATTACTACTACTACTACTACTGGTGGTATTCGGGTAATGTTTTCAATTGTATCATTTATATTGTCATCATTACCACCCCCTCATGTGTATAATTATATACATTTAGTGATGAATTGAATTTTTGGTATTCATTGTTTCGCCTCTCTCTCTCTCTTCTGTCTATCTGTATTCTATCTATCTGTCGGTCTGTTTGTCGGTTGGTTGGTTGTTTTCACAAAACAATATCATCATTATTGCTGCTTTACTCTGTTCATCATTGATTGTTTTGAAGTGAATTATGCATGATCACTTCATCATCATATATGTACACATACACATCATGTTGGATAATTATTATTTTCATCGTAGTAAAACAAACTCAGTGTTCTACTTTTCTGATCATCATTAAAATGTGTGTATTAGTATTAGTAGTGTCCATAGTTCCGCATTGTCATCATTGTTATTCTCGTCTACAAATCATGTATGTTACTGATTCAAAGGGTATTTTTTTGCTAAACTGAGATTGTTGTGGTTGGTTGGTTGGCACTATATGTTTACACTTTTCCCTTATTAAGCAACTTATTTCACTAAGATAGTGGCTGTTTAATATTCTCAATATTTAAACACAGAAAAATAAACATCCTTTAAAAAAAAGAATTCTAGTTAAGATTGATTAGTTTGTGATTTAAAATTATCTCTAAAGAAATCACTCTCTATTGGTAATATTGATAACGATCTGCTGCTCACTACTGACTACCTCTGTTAGGAAGTTTCTCAAAGTTATAGTATAAAGTCGTAACCAGTGGAGTTCAACAGTGTTCGGTTTTGAAGTAGTGCTTACCCGAGGCTGTGAATTGATTAGAGGTGGACATCAACACCGTTGGATGCCGACTCAACAGTCTAGAGTTCGAGCTTCCGCGCACGAGACCAAAGGTCGTAGGTTCGATTCCCGTGTCCGGGAGCTGTGGATACACACGATCAGCGAGTCTCCTGGTACAGCGAATCGGCTGTTCGGTTCTTCCACGTTTCTGATGGTGCTCTAACATTGATCGGTTCATGAATTCAATAGTCCCGTACTCACTTATTCACGCTGCGACTCCTGAAGTGCAGAGACTGATGGAGTTCTGCATTGTAGGCATTGGTTAAATGTTGTAAAATATCATGAATCGATTGAAGTTAAACATGTACACACATTGTCTGCCGATTCAACGATTTCAAAGTGTTACACATGCACGTAAACACGTCATTTGGTATACTTGAACTATTACGAGTTTACCTTAGTCGGAAAACGAGATCGGGGATCGATGAACCGGCGACGCGACAAGCCACTCTAATCCGAGTATGCCAAACCTTCATTGAGTAAAAGAAGTAGACTTGATGTGGAGTAGAACCTGTATTCTACAAGCATTCAGAAAGTACGAGGTTTGAGTCCAGAAGAATGTAAGGATCCCGGACTACGGATCCGGGTCATGAAACGTTACAGATAATGCATATTCATGCAGTTAGGTCGATTAGGAAACAACATTGAAGTACGTGACATTGATAGCTAGTACGATCATAATATTGACCAGTAGGAGTTGACCAATAGAATTAGACTTCCGAAAATAAATCTCTTAGGCTATCTGATGAATATCCTAACACAAAGTTAAGCATTCGCCCATAAGATTAACGGTTCTGGGTTCGATCCCCTTATTCAGTGTTCATTTCATCATTGATTCGATATATTTTCTGTTCATTTCATGTTTACTAATAATTTTTGTAAGTAGTATCAACGTTAAATTTAAAAAAATTACCTACTTTCTGTCGATTGAGTGTCAAGTGTATCACAAATTGTCGTAACGTATTTTGTTGAAGAAAATTTTAACTGGGTAACTTTTGTTAATTTTCATCGAAATCATAAATTTGATCAATTCTAGACCATCATAGGAATTCTGGAAGCATTGTTCTGTTAATAAAGTGTGTAGTGGAGATTATTCATAATGTTATATGCGAAGAAGCAGAAGAAGTCTATACCATATGAAATGTTCAAATTTAGCATAGACACAATTTGTTTACGAAATATGTACACATAGTCTTCATGGTGCATTTGTATGCAATACAAGCAGGTTTTGGTCTATCTGCTCTCTCACATCTCTTCTGGTCTTCAAAAATACACTGATCATTTAGGGTTCGTCACAAGGTATGCTTGATGCTATTACGAGTTCACCAGCGTCCAGATAAGCTACCTTGAATCCCAAGCTGAAGATAAAAGGCTTTGTAAGCGTAGAAAGTATATTCTACAAACACCCAGCAATCACATTACAATCAAGCACAAAACTCTCGGTTATTTATGCATCATAGAAACTTCCTTGGGACAGTTACGAAAATAGCACACTAAAATACACAGCAACCAATCACAGCCATGGATTTTCCTGGTGGGAAATGAAATTTTAAGGTCAACTGATCAGCCCATGCACGGAAACGTGAAATCCAAAATAAGGCATTTATCAAGCGAGTTTTGGGGATCTAACATCCCCAACAGATCACCCCTATAAAATTCGTTCTTCTGACACTTTTTCATTATGGAAGCAACTTTTAGGCAGTACTCCATTGCATAGTACTTATATAAGCCACTCTATGAGTAGCATCCACCGCTATAGGAAGGAGATCTCAACTGTTAATAGTTGGTCAGCTAAGCAATGATGTGTGTTACTTCATACTACTCCAGTGTCCAATCATATTTACCTTCACATGTCCGTTTTCCATCTCCAAATCTTTTTATTATCATTCTCATTGTATTCAGTTGTATAACTAACTAACTAATTATACACTATGCACAATTGTTCATGTGTGTTTATGGTCTGTACTTGTTTTTATTTTCCTTCTTCTTCTGTCTTAACAATAATTATTTGTTTTTTCTTAAAAATTTTAGACTTGCAGTAAACTACCCCTAACTCGAATCCCATTAGATTGTTATTTGTCACCTGATTGTGAAGGTCCAGACGAAGAATTAAATCAGAATCATTTCATTCTATCCAATATTAATGTACATCGTTGGGATGGTCCATATTTTGATTGGTTATCTACTGTTCGACCAGTAGCTTCACCTTATCTCCCTCAAACCGGTGATCGTATTGTCTATTTATATCGTGGTCATCAAGATTATTTATCTCAAGCATGGGATGGTGGTCATGTTCCGTTAATGGATAGTTTAGATCAACAAAAAACAAACTGTTCACCTTCTCCTCCTCCTACTCATTTACCTTGGACTATTTGGCCTGATTTACCAGTAAGTGTTATGACTTGAAAGATACCAATTGATATTGTTGTAACGCTTGCTTAGATATAATTCCCAGCTAATTCCTATTGCTTAGTATTCTCTGACCACACAATACACTGGACAAGTTCCAAAAGAATTAAGAACACGATGAAACAGGAAAAGATTATATTCCAAATAGCAAATACAACGTTAGTTTCTTTATAGTATTTACATTAGAAGCTGAATATGCTTGCGTGATTGCCTAATGTAGTTAGAAGATTGACTGTCGATCATGAGGTTTTATGGTAGTATGTCTTTGAAATAAATACCTGTACGTTGAACACTACTGATAGCCTACGACGCACTGTTTTCGGAATTGATCACTCACTTCCAGTGGTGGTGTGGTGTGTGCTACTTATACGAACGATATAAGTAGTATAAGAATGGACGTGAAAGATGTCTTACGGTCAGAAGAGGAAAACGGAAAGCAAATAGAGCAAAAGCAAGAAAGATTTAGAGCACCGACAGGAAGTAAAGGAAGCAACAGCAGGAATGGAGGAAGGCTGGAGCGTTGGAAGTCAGGACTCAAAGATGGTGTGCAAATGGAGTGTTCAATGTAATGTTATCGTTTTTAATTGACTAAGAGTGTAAATTTGCCAAATACAATCTATCGAGCCTGCCTCAGTCCTCTCAGTGGTTTGTCTAGGTTGATATTCAACTTTTTTGTTGATATGTCTTTAGGAACGACACTTCCATCGACTGACTTTTTAGGAGTTGACCTTCGCTAGGAGACCTGCCATGTTTAAATAGCAGTCACTAGTGAACTAACTAGTTGAAAACTGCTTAGTAGGAGTTCAACACAACACACACACTAAACTCCTACCCAATGATTGCTAGTTTTCAGTGGTATCTCAACCGATGCCAATATGCGACAGAATTATCACTCACAAATTAAACCAAGCCTCCATCATAGTTGTAATTAAGTAAACGTTGACCAATAAGTGACTACTTATTCAGACTACTTAATAATTCGATACATTTAGTATGTGTTCAGTACTTACTACTGTTAATAGTAATAGTAGTAATAACATTAGTGTCAAATCTAGAATATGAGTCAAATTAATAATAATTTAATTTAAAATAGTTTTGATGATTTCGTTGTTCAGATAGAAGAGATGTTCCTACTGCATCTGAGACTCAAATTCATTAGCATTAGCTTCAGACGCCATTGATGCTAACGACAAGTAACCACATACTTGTGCAGATGCACTCAGTTGATTGGTCTCCTACAGTACGAAACTCGTGGCTTGCATTCCAATTCCAACCACATTCACAATCGATCTTATTCTAAATATACTAACTTGCTTACGCCTGTTATCGCCAGTGAAGCATAGGCCGCCGACCAGTATTCTCTAACCTACTGTGTCCTGGGTCTTCCTTTCCAATTCTTCTCATTTCTGTCTCCATATGAACATTCTATGTACCTAAAAGAGTAGTTGCTCTGGTTGTCAGAAGGAGTATCGGCCCCGTAACTCCCTAAGAAACTTGGCTTTCATCATGTAAATGAAAACCTTCTAACTCACAGGACAGAGTTTGAATAATTTGAATTGATTTTTCTGATTAGCATTTTTTGTAGCAAGTTAGTTTTCTACAGGATGGGGTCACCGACCCCACCCCCTTCGTTTATCCACGGGCCTGGGACCGGCACTTGCCTCGGCTGTGGCTCTAGGCAGAGTGAATTCTAAATATTACTAATAAATATATATATTTTTAAATTTCTTTTTTCTCTTTTTTGATTTACAAATTTCACTAGGAATTTTTATGTTGTACAGTACAAAAACTTACTTATCATATTGTACGTATCACTGGTAACAACTATTCATCAACCTGCTACTCCACCTCCACCTCGTCTTCATCAACATCATCATCCGTTGTACATTCAAAGAAAAACACTAGAAAATCATCATCAAACACAACGAAACTTTTAAAACAATCGAAACAGCTGATTAATTTGAAAGATTTAAAAGATCAGAAATTCACAACCGCCAACAACACTACAACCACTGCCACTACCTCATCATCCGTATTCAATAATGAATGTCCTGTTGCATCATCGACTAGTCTCAACGGTGCTGGTCCTGCTTCTGGCACCAGTGGTGGTGGTGGTGGCAATATCTGTTCCTCCTCCTCCTGTTCATTATCATCAGCAACAACAACATCGACAACATCATTCGATGATGGAGATAGTTTTGTTCGATTGATTACATTAGAATTACAGATTGATACAGAACAACCTTATACAAAATTAACTTATACTAAATGTTGTCATACAGAACAACATGATACTACTACTACTACTCACACTACTACTACTACTACTACTAAACATCAAGACGACAAATCAAAACAACAACGTCCAAATATTATTCATGTTACTTATCATGATGTTGATGGTATATTGGAATTTATTATACTTCGACGAATATTTGATGCATCATTAAAGCATAAATGGAATTCAGGTGTGAATTCAACATGAAATTGTTGTTTGTTTTGTCGAAAATTTAATTTTTTTTTTTATTCATTCATATGTGTTGCCATTGTTTTTAACGATATATTTAATGAGCCAATCAGAAATAGACCCATCAGAAGATTGCTATTTCATGACATATCTTGTTGTGTGGTTAAGACAATGGCTTTCTTTCCCCTTCAGTCAGTTACAATGTAGAACTCCGTACGTATGTACATAAGTTCATGTTGCCATACCACATTAGCACAGAGACGCAAATGTCAAATCAAACCCCATAGTGATAAAGATAGTAGAGGTATTAATGGTAATGAAGAAGACTAGGGTTTGAAGATATTATTCAAGAAGTATAATTCAGTGAGATAAAGTTAGGGAAAGAAAGGTAGATGTGATGAGAATTTCAGAAGATTATGATTTGTGAGAACTCACAAAATCCAGAAGATTTGGATTTGAGGGAGCTCAGCGAATGGATGCACCTGCGCCATTGCAAACGATTTTGAGCCATGTCATTCAAGGTCTCTAACCATCGGTGACTTTCGTCTCGAGGACCTCAACCAGGTAGCCTACATCTACCAACATAACTTAGTCCACTTGTTAGTGACTTCATGGATTTCTGCCATGTTTTAGTTGTGCTGCCCCTAGCTTTCTTTCAACTTATTCCTACAGCGCAAAACTTAGCTCTTCGAGGCAGTCGGTGGTTGGGCACTCGTAACATATGTATCTCGACCACCTCAACTGATGAAGTTTCATCACTTCATCTATTGATCTGCCATCCTTACCTAGTACTCGTTTCCTAACGACAGCATTGCTTACTTGGTTGTCCTAGGATACACAAGCATGGCATGGCTCAAAATCGTTTACAAGGTGCAAATATTTGTCTATATAATTCGGTAGCCTAAATTTGAACTTTCTTTCCCAGTCTTATCTTCTCCGTCAAGTCACTAGTTTTTTTTCGGGAAGGGGTGTTAGTGCGTGTCGCTGTTTAGATCTTGAGCACTTGTAAATCGAAACAGGACTCGAACCGAACGCATTTCAAAGGTCCAATGTAGTACCTAATGATCTGTCAAATCCAAAACACCACTAACTTTTTCTGATGGGTGTATAAAGTGTAAGAATTTGGATTGCAATCTGTCTTTTTCTAAATGCGTACATTCTATGTGGATTGGATCGATACAGTCAGAATAACTAGGAGGTGATTGAATTCCTTACTGGCAATAGTATAAATAAGAAAACTTTTTTTATCAAAATGATAAATTGGTCAATTTTAGACTAGTACTGAATGGTCATTTCTTCTTAGTATGGGACCAATCAGCAGTACTTAGCCATGATCCCGTGGACAGGATTCGAATCTGTACAAATGCTCTAATCTCAATTTTATTTTGATTGCTTTTCATTTCATAAGTAAACCTACTAATAAGAGTTCAGTCTCTAAACAAGTACGAACTAGTTTCTCTCAGAGCAAATATGTATTTCTCATCTCAGTATAATGAGACGTTAGATCCTCAGAACTCAATTGGAAAAGTCCTTATTTTGTATTTTTCGTGTTTTCGCGCATAAGTTGCTTAGTTGACCCTGAGATTACCTTTCCCACTTGAGAAATCCTTGACTTGTCATTCGTTGATAGATTATTTTAGTACGCTATTTTTGTGGCTCTCCCAAGAACGACTCTATCATTTTATAAATAGCTCGATTTGTATATGTGTACCAAAGAAGTACATTAACCTTATACAAGCTCTCTGCTCGAACACCACTGGTCGAGTGAGAGCTTATGGCGAACTGTCATCTGGATTCTCTACATCAAGTGGTGTCCGTCAGGGCTGTCCACTCTCTCCATTCTTGTTTAACTTTATCGTAGACATCCTCTTAGAGTTAACATTAAGCTCGTCAGATTTTTCAGGGGTTGACCTTCTACCAGGCGGCTCGCTTATTGACTTAGAATATGCCGATGACATAGTCCTACTTGGTGAAGACGCTGACAAAATGCAGAATCTTCTGACCACCCTAAGCAACAATGCGAGCATGTTCGGGATGCGGTTTTCCCCCTCGAAATGCAAAATGTTGCTTCAAGACTGGGCACGTGACATTGATATCTAGGACAATCATAACATTGACCAGTAGAATCTAACCAATATTAATTGACCAATAATTCTCTTAGGATATTAGATGAATATCCTAACACAATCTAAAATTAAATACCCAAAGTTCAGCCTTTAACAATCCTCGGTTAATTCATAATCTTGTATACCTGTCATGCATTTTGTTCAATGATCACTGGTGAATTCAGTAGATGGTCGACCTCTCATTGATCATGGTACTTTTTTTCTGTGAATCGTTTTCAACTAGAACAGACTTATTCTTTAATTATAACAATATCACGGTTTGTTCTGTTTTCTTTCTTCGAAATATCAGGTGACTTGTTTATCTGCCCTGTTGGTGATAATTCATGGTGGCGTGGTGTGGTTGTTCGTAGCCTTTCAAATAATAATAATAACAATATATCAATATTACAACCTAGTACTTCAACACCCGTTGAACATTCATTAAACACTACTTATTTAGTACGTTGGTTAGATGACAATGAATCATTCCCATGTCATAATGACAGTACTAGTTATTGTACCAATAGTAATGACACAACGGATTACAACAACAACTACTACTACACTACTGAATTGTTAGATAAATTACCGGAGAATATGGATTATGTGAATTCATGGGATATGTTTAAATGGTGTGCTGAATCGACTAATCGTGATAATGATGATGGTGATGGAGGTTAGTCATGGGATTATTTTTTTGTGTCTTACGAATTGTAAACTGTTTATTGTACATAGTAGTTTCATTGTGATTATTTCATGCTTGCTAATTTATCATTGTAATCAGTTGAATGCATTGAAAGTTTGCTGTAGTTTACGTTAAGACAACATTGAAAAACTTCAATACAGGGTAATCATAGTGATTGTTGTCTTTTACCGGAAGAGCTGGACAGCTGTTTTGCCCTGGTATGAAACTCATCAGCTGTGCTCAACCACGACTCCTCTTACTCGTGGTAATCGAACATAGGACATTCGGTCTCGCCCGTGAACACTTAACTTCTAGACCACCGAGCTGACATCAAACGGTGTTGATGTCTGGGTTCGAATCCCGCCAGTGGGTACGTAGATATGCACTTGCTGTAGAGTTCCTTACTATAGTGGTCAATTTTAAGGTGAACTACATCGCGTTTCAAGTTTCATCACATATCTAAAGTTGGCATCGTTTTTAATGCAATTAAAATGAAATTGTT